GGGGGAAAAAAAAAAAAGTGAAGTAGCGCACTGCCCCGCTCAAAACCAGAGCCTAGCTGGCTGGAGCCACACTAGTCCTGCTAGCCAGGCTCCGTGTGGCAGGATTGCCACTGCTACAGCCCTAGGAGGCCCCAGAACTCCAGGTAAGGCTGCTGGAGCCAACTCAGTGCTGGCCCCAGCCTCCCCTACCCCACCTGGGGTAACTTGCTGTGCACCAGAGGTATAGGCAGATTAATACATGGGCCCATGGGACCAAGGCCCAGGGGCCCCCGGATGCTTGAGTTCCCTCAGGAAATGGTGGGTTTCCCCTTGCAGGCAGCATTCCAGTCTGCAAGAGGTCCTGCTTGAGGCTGCCAGGAGCAGGATGCAGGGGCGTGGGGGCCCACATGCATGTGCATGGACAGCATGGAGAGCAGCTCCCTGTAGGTAGGTCTATGGAGGGGAAGAGGTGTGGGGGAGGGAAGGGATGTATCAGGGGCAGATTGAGGCCCTCAGGCCCCAGATCTAGGGAGGGAATGGGACAGGGGCTGGGGGCAGTGCCCAGCCAGGGTGGTGCCTTGGACCCAGGGCCAGGCCAGGGAGCAGGATAGAGCCATGGGCAGCTCATCCAGCAAGCACAGGGGGGTGGGCAGGGTGGAAATGAGAAAGGGGGCAGCTCCCCGCTGCTGTGTGCACCATCCCAGGGGCCCCGCTGGCCACACACCCTCTGCCCATCCCCTGCAGCAATGGGGGTGGTGAATTATGCCTCCCATTGCCAGGTGGGCAGGGGACATACAGCCAGTGTGGGGCCCCCAAGGCGAAGGCAGCAGGGCAGAGAGCCCCGAGCCCACAGCAGACAGCCCACATCCACCCTCACCCCATTCGGCTCCACTCTGTTCCAGTCATGGGGGGGTGTGGAGGGAGCAGTGGGAAGAGGCAGTAGTGTGCACCCCACCCCCAGCCCAGCTGGGTCCACCCAGCCTCCCCCACAGCACATGAAGGCTCACTTTGCCCTTGGCAGCAGCAGCACCAGGAGGGGAAGGGGCCCCTCCCCCTGCTGGAGTCCCCACTGGGGTGTGTGGGGCCTCCAATTTTCTGCTTGCCAAGGGCCCCAATAAATCTTAAAATCGGCCACTGCCCAGAGGGCATGTGGCACAAGGTGTGCCGCTGCTAGTTGTCCCCAGGGAACCAAATGACCATGCACACGTGGACACGGCCAGAGAGGGTTAATTCCCTCGCGTTACTCCCCAAGGTTCTGAGTGGTTTGAAGATTTAAGAAATAGCCCTTTGTCTAGCATGAACTCTTTGTTTCTTACTGAACTGAAGCGTATTTATTTTATGAATAAAAAGGGTCTATGCAAACTATTTAAAGAAATTCATTGAGCTCTATGGGCCTAACATACAAAGCTTGTGGAGTTAGTGTATGCACATTCACATGGGGTTTTTCCATATAAAAAAAATGCACCCAGATTTTTAGTGCGACATGCTGGGCTTGCACATTCCTCTTTGTTGGTGCACCATAAAACAAGAGTTGGCAACATTTTCCTAGCCTAGGCCAAAGCTTACAATCTAGCTCCCTGTCACTGGCTACAGCTACCCACTGACCCTGGAGACCTCAAGCTGCCTGCTCACCTTCGCTGCCAATACCTAGACCCTCTGCAGCAAGGTAAGCACAGGCAGGAGAGAACAGCAGGAGGCTGCTGTGGAAGGGACTGGTGGCTCAATGTAGCTCCATGCTACCCAGTCCTCTGTATGACCTAGGCCATATTGGACCACTCTGGACTGGATCCAATCTTTTTATGGCCCAATCCAGACCCAGGACCATAGATTGCTGACCTCTGCTAAAGAAGGATACACCACTGTAGTTCAATACACAACTGGCACACTGAAAGGCATGCAGGAAAGAATCAAATGCAATTTTATTTTGAAAAGAAATTACACAGTTTCTACATGCATTTGCTATCCATTACTCAAGATTAAATATACTCAATTTACAAGGAAAAATGGAAATTTTCCATCAGTCCTGCTGACAAGCCTGGGCTCAGAGTTAAGGAAGGATCTTTCTTTAGGTGCATGATTATCAAAGGCTCTGTAGGGCTAACTTGGTTACACAGGTGTAAGTGAAGGCAGAATTTGTCCTTGTAATTTGAATCCTGTCAACTATTTTCTTGGTAACAAGTGAGGTAGAATATTATTCACTGCCAGTCTCTCATATAATTGCTGTGTTGACTCTATAATACTGGCAGGAGCAAAAACTAGTAAAAACCTTATTGGCACTAAAATAAGAAAATGACTGAATGCAACCTTTCTCTGCGTGTGCAGAGAATGCAGGTGTTTTTTAATTATTCATCATCAATCCATCTTTTACTGGCACCATTCACCATATACTTGAGCCCCTAGAAAGTTTACACAGTTACTTCTCAGAATAGTCTAGGAGGATTGATTTATGGGGAAAGGTGACAAGAACTGCATATTTATTGCTTGGCTGCTAAATGGGGAACATGAGAAGTGTCTGCAAATATTGGAAAGTTGTAAACACCAAGGAAGGAGAGGCATTTCTTAGCTTGGTTCAAGGAGATCTAGCTAGAAGTAGCAGGTTTAAAGACAAATAAAAAAGACTATGAAATAGGTTCTCATGGAAAGTAGTAAAATACTACTGGAGAAGAATCAGTGAAGGGAACAAGGAAGTGGTCCAACCAGTGGACTAAAATGCCAGGTACAGACATTACACTTATATCAGTATAAGTGATTGGAAACTAGTCCACACCCCGTAACAGAACAGAAATTCAGCACACAGACTGATTTAAAAATGGCAGAATCCAGTGTAAGATTTCCACACACTCCACCCAAGGGCAAATGTATGCTCTGTTCACTACCGCTCTAAACTACGCTGTTTACAGAAAACTGTGTTAACTTACATTGATTCTGCCTCGAGCTTTTTGAAAGCCTGTACCTAGTCCACATGGCAATTTTCTAAGGGCAACCTAATTTAGCGAAGGTCAGGCACCTTTTTAAACTGTAATTTCTATGTCTTTTCCATCTTTAATAGCTATTTCTCATTACAATTTGGTTCTCAATATTGCACATTTCCTGGATGTTGAAATACCTGGCTAGCACGATATTTTCACCTACTGCATTCCTCCATGCGTCTTTTTCCACATGTTCACATTGCAACCATTTATGTTACCCTACAGGTTAAACAACAGTGGAACATTTTTTTCTTGGCAAAGAAACAAGAATCACTCAGGAAGCATCTGCATTTATAAGTAATTTCAGACTGCTGGAAACGTTTCTATTAGTAAAGACTTTACCTGAGAACGTTTTAAATTTACATTTGCAATTTATTTATTTATTTTTTACCTTTTCTCTCTCTTCTGCATCATAATTATCAGGAAAGCTTGGTTTATTCTGATTTTCTTCATTGATTTCTCTTTCCTCCAAATAAAACTGCCATTTGGCTTCAAAGTAAAACCAGTGCTCCTGATATTCTGAAGATAAAAGCAAATTAATAAAGTAATAGTCCACCTTGACCAGACTCTCAGGTGCACTTAATGTGTAAAGAAAGAACAGAACAGTGTTGATCTAGTTATTTTTACAGAGATGTAACTTTAACAGTTCACACAATACAAGTGATGTATTTTTAAAAAAAGGATCAAAACTGAGTATTTGGTTTATTACACCAGTACTAACAGGTTGGAAACATGAAAAAGAAAAAAAGGAGGGGAGGCCATTAAAAACTAAGAACTAGTGTTACCATAATAATTTCCTACAACTTGAAAATAAATAGCATGATACAAGAATAAGAATGCTTAGTGAAAAAAAAGTAAACTAATGATTAGAACAACAGGTATGCCAAATTTTTGTCCCTATATTATGGATAAAAGGGGTGTAAAAAGGCTTAGTTTTTTTTGGTTTTGCCTTTAAATCATACTTTTCTTTCCCATTTACTTTAGAAATATGAGGAACTTCAAATCTTACCTTTCCTGGTTTTACCAGAGGACTTAATGGATGTCACAGAGAAGTGGACTAAAGACCTTTTCCCCCCATTGTTTGAGTTAAACAAATTTTGAGAATACCAGTTAGAAAGCATTAAAGTTAAAGCATCCTGAATATGAATTGTATCCTATCTTTATTCTTCAGATTTTACAGTTATGATTTCTCATGAGTCTACTAGCTTTTCCTCTAAGAAATAACTAAGTGAGAAAACCAGAACTTTCCACAGTTGTATATTGAATTCTATATATAAAAACAGGAAGAAAACCTTTTAGGCTTTCTTTATATATACCCAACCCTTTTTCTGTTTTCATGTCACTTTAAGCACCATGAGTCCCTAATCATATAAAATTTTCGTGTGCTTACTTTAGCAAGTCCCCTTAAGTTAACCTTTACACAAATGTTTAAGTCCAAACCAATTCAATAAAGCAATTAAAGGTACCTAGAACTAAGATTGCTTGGGTCATCAATCCCAATCCCTTGCAACTGCAAGTAACTATAAAACAGATGTCAAATCCAAAAGAGTCTAGGAAAACATCCAGCCAGCCCCTCTCACTCACCAGAAACTGCAAAGCAGGTTTCCAACATCCAATAACATATAAGCACCAAGTTCAGTGGCATAAGAACTAGGACTGGAATGGTTCTTACGGGCCATCAACTCCAGTTCCTTGAATTTGCAGGCAATCATTTACTGAAGAATCCCCAGAATCACCACTTCAAACCACTACACAATTACAAACTAGGATCTTGACTACATACCCCTCCACAAGGCCTCCAAAAGTAAGTGTGCCATAGAAAGAGAGACCAAGAGCCACTAATGACTTTGACAAGAGGCAAATCTTGACAGGGTTAAATATTTACAGAGCAGCAAGAGGGACATGATCATTTGAACATGGGCAATTCAGTAGTAGAGTTCTTGTTCAAGTGTGTGGAGCAGCACTACTGCTCCAAATTAAGTATGCACAAAGTCCGACTTCTACTTCAGTGACTTCCCTATCAATGCCTCAGAGCCAGATAGAAAACGAGGGACCATGCATGTGTAACAGTTACTTTTCTAAATGAAACAATTTGATTTTCTATTCTCTTGCAGAGTTCCTCGTAATGAATTAATATCCTTAAAATGCTTCACCTCCTTTTAAAGAATAACAGTGGTTTATATATGCTGTTATCTGGTACATGGTGGTTGCTTCCCAAGCTCACATAACCCAGCAGAAAGAACAGGAACACACTTGTACCAGAGTCTACTGCAATCCTTATGCTGAAGTAGCTTCCAGATTGGTGGGGCAGGAAAGATTTGATTTCCCCATAATGTTTCCTTGCCCCAAACCCAGGACTGCTGCTAGAGGGAAAAAACTGAACAACTGTTCAGCTACTCCAGGCCCTTACTTGAGACTGAGAGAATCCAATTGGCATTTGCTGACTTTGTCGGTCCTTAAAAACATGGCTAGTATCTTGTTTAGCACACCTTAAGTTACTTCTATCATGGTATAGAAAGCCCAAGTAGCGTCTTGATGAGATATTCGTTTATGTTTGAAAAAGCAAAGTGAAAAATGTATTCCTAGCCATAAAGCTCAAATGAGTATTTTAACAAAAAGTACATTACAGAAAAAGCAGTGCTGGCTTAAATAAACACACAACTTACTAAATGACCTGATGATTTTAAAACTCAAAAAGTCTGGTATTTTTAAAGATCTCTTCTTGCTTTTCTGTTGCGCTCATAACAATACCATCCTAATGTCTCAACTCAAAAGCATTAATGAACCCTGTAAGTTAGATAAATACTATTAACTTCATTTTACAGATGGAAAAACTCAGGGTTTAAGTGATTGCCCAGTCATGGGGGAGATCTGTGGCCAAGCCAGAAATTAAACCCAGACTATCCAAACAGCTTTCCTCTCTGGGTGCCATTCCTTGACCCTTACTTGGGCTGAATACTTAATGACACTACGCAAGTATCCATATAGAGATCAGTGGGACTACACGCAGAAGTAATTGCAATTTGATACTGGGCAAGGGCTAATGAATTGGACTTTGCAACTAAATGTCTCTCATTGTCTTTGCAATTGAACCAGAAAAAGATTCTAAGAATCGGTTTTCCTAAAATGGAGGACTCTATTCAGTAGAAATCCTCCGCAGCACATCTCAGCAGCCAAGGGGGCTTGACCCTGATACAGAAAATTTTTTCCTTGCTTCCAAAATAGCACTAGGTTCTACAATGCCAAAGTTACATAGTGCATGCTTCAGGAGCCCCACATATCTCTACACAGCGGTGGGTTCACCCTGGATAGAGTGACAGGACCCTTCTGTAAAGGCAAGTCAAAGAGAAACCTATATATGGTAATCCTGCACCTGCTGTTCCTAGTACTAGCTTAAAGAATAATAATAACCTCCAAGCAGAACAGGTTCCACTAAAAGCATTCTGTGCATTTCAGAAAGCCTTCCCATTTGTTCTGTCATGTTCAGAGGAACAATTCGATAACTTAGATAAACCTTTTGTTTTCTGAACGGTCCAAGCAAGGTTTTATATGGAGTCTCGTCATTCTTGATAACCATCCCTCCATAGCTCTTTAGAAAAGATGGAAAACCTCTTTGCTTCACTTTTGGAGATACACCCAAGGTATGCCAATTTGTTCACATTGGAACAGGACTGATATAAATACAATGATCCTAGGCAAACAGTCAGTAGGCAGCTATTAAGCACAAAGGTATTATATACTCAGGTAAAGTAAAATAATCTCTTTCAGGAGTCCTATTTCATTCAACTGCTTTATACAGCAGTATAACTAGGATACCTCCCAAATATGTGAACAGAATAGCAACAACCCAGATTTTAATATCCAGACAAAGAGTGAATTAATGATTTACCTAATGCATGCATCTTCAGCTGGGTTAGGGACTTCCACTGGAAAAATTAGGAATGTGATCATGCGAGTTTGTTTTCCTACATAATTTGATGGAGGGCAGCTGAAACAGCTTGAACTGCAGCATGCATTTTATAATTGAAATGCTTGCAAGTATATTTCCTATTCTGTAATGATCTCTATAAAGCTTATGGTTATTGTTATACTTCTGCTTTTTGTATATTGCCACCAGTGTGGCAGGCAACTTCCCAAATATATAAAAATAAGGTTCTGTCTGAACAGCTAACAGGATAAACAGATGAGGTGGGAAGACAACATGCAGACACAGGACAGACTATGAAGTAATAAAAGCAGGATAGCTGAGTAGTGAAATTTACTGGGTATGGTTATAGTTGATTTTTAAAAAACATTTTAGTTACCTGCCATGTGTCGAATGGTCTTTTTGCAATATTCTTCTGCCATTGGAACCACCTTCATCATGTCTCTTCCCCACTGTACTAATGGTTTTCCTTGAATTGCATACGATATGAATAGGGCTGTACACAGAGACCCTAAAAAGCCTAAAGTGAATAAATTAGCATTAATAATTACCACCTGTATTTCTACCGTGGTATTAATGAAGACATCCTTGGCCTATCCCCAGTGAAATTATTACTAGGTGTGTCATAGCTCTAGGATTGTTTAACAAATATATATTACCTGATCTGTCTATTTACAGGCTGGCACATGGCACAGTCAGACTTTTGGCTGCAGTGTGGTACTTACTGGGTAACGACTTATTTCACATGAGGGAGCTCCTGTTTTCCTTGGTATAATATGACAGAAATTTATGTAATTATGTGAATTATGTAAATAAACGTGATGGCTTTGTATGATACTGAAAATCTTTTCATTTAAGTCGCATTAAATAACTGACCTGGACAAAGCAGTTCAATTACATTTTAAATGGCAAAGATTTCTCAGGGTGATATATTTTATTGGACCAACTGCATAGCTGAGGTAGAGTTAGATAAGATTTAACTGGCTTCATGCAACTTGCAGATTAGAGATATTAGGTGTATCATTGTTTCTAGTGAAGTCTGTTCTACATTACTGTTATGCATGCTTTATTTTACTTGACTGCTGACAGACATCCAGTTTAATGGGATCTGATTCATGATCAGCCACATGTTCAATTTAAAGCATGATACTAAGGAGCCACAAAATTGTTGCATATAATATGTGGAATACGTTTGTGGCTTGTTTACTGTATTGTCATGCCTTAAATTGACTTGAACACTTGGCCTCATTGCTATTTAAGGCAGAATTACCCTGTTATTTGCATCTTAAATGTAACAGGTCAGGAGCCTTCGGGTTTTATTTGCCTTAGAGATAACTGTGCAAGTAAATTTTGTTGCATGGTTGCATCTAACTCTTAACATTTGACTATGGTCAAAAATTTATTTTTCTTTCAAGTTAACCTCATGGTTTGGTTGAGTCAGAGCTTTATTTGTTTGTTTTCTTATACCTGCTTGAGATTTTTGAGGTGGTTTTTAAATACAGGAAAAATATTGAGTACAAAATTCACTATAAGGCTTTGAAACCAGTCCAGTCATTTTACATACCTAACTAAGCAAAGCACTACAGTTTATGCTTAACTTCAAGGATGCAAATCAATATCACTACTCACAGTCTAAGCCAAGCATTGCTCTTAAAAGGTGCAGACAGAAATTACATTTCCTGTGCAATTGGCCCCTTGAAAATGTTCTGCAGCTGTGCCCTAACAGAAGAGCACAACTGCAGGGCACTCTGACTGCAGGACAAATTAACCCTCATTGTATGAAGATTCAAATGAAGGCACTTCAAAGCAGAGTGCCTTTATTAACTTGTGTCTGCTCGGGCAGCTGAGCTGCTGCAGCTCAGCCCTGCCCCCAGGTCTGGCTCAGGATGGGAGAAGAGGGAGAAGGGAGGGAGGGAAGCTCAGGATGTTATTTTACCAGTCTGCTGTTGGAGTGGAGGCAAGTGGATGGAAGCCTCCCGAGGCTCCCCTCATGTCCCTTCTCCTTTCTATCCCTGCCCCACCATCCTAAGATAGCGAGGGGGGGAGGGGGGAAGAGGGCTCTGGGAAGAGGCTGCCAATAAGCAGTCTCTCACTGTATCAACTCCATATTGGAGCTTGAACCCTCACCCTTCCAACCCAACAGATGTTATCTGGGGGATCAGTCTAATTCATCACATTTTCTGTGAAGCACTATAAGTTAGACCAGGGAGCTGCACTTCTGTCTGTGTCTTAAGCGACTTGTTGGATCAGGGCTTTAATACTTACTGTTCCTCAACAATTTTTTTGCCATTCATTATTTTTGAAGCATCTCAGCTCCCTAACTATGACATGACTATGTTCTTTCCTTGAGCTATCAGGTAGAGGCAATGTACAATAAAAAGGATGGCACTTATTGCTGGGGGGATATGTTTTTTTTTTTTTCAAGGATGTCAAAACACAATGGCTGATCTTTCAGAATGCTACATTCTTTTTGGTTTAGCTAAGTCTGATTTCTTCAAGCCACACAGATTTGGAAATATCCTGACAACCAACCAATTTGTTTCCCTTCCTAACCATATGAAAATGATCACTGTAACAAGACTCATCAAAATAAAGACATCATTACCTCCAAAACAGTGAAATCTGGATAAAATAAAATGTTAAATTTGATCATGAAAGTAACAAGCAAATTGTTTAGGCATTTCAAGTAGTTTTCTAGCCATTCTATAGCTAGAGATTTCATGGATGTGTATCTAACATACACCTCACTGCAGGCAAGTATCAAACCAGGACCCTGGAGTATGCAAATACAGCAAATTTTGACAAGGCAGTTATTGGGAGCTGTGCTAGTCTTCTCTAAACTAAAAATCAGTCTTATGCATTCCAGACAAATAACTTCATTCCAATGGATGTTACCTGTAGGATGGTTATGAGTCATTCGGCCACATTCAATGCTCACTTCAATAAGACTTTCTAGCCTTTCAGGCTTCCAGTATCTCATACCTAAACACATGGCTTTTGTAGCTGCTCCAAATCCAGAACCTACATTAAAAACATAATTATAGCCTTTTTAAAAAGGAACTAATCGTATACAAATATAATGAATGTCATATGAAACAAGCATATTACAGTAATTTAAATAACTTTTAAGGGACTGAAAGCTATCATTCAAAACATACTTCAGGACTAACAGCCATGCACATGGATTTTTGCCTCCACATAGAACACTTCAGTGCAGTATTTTATTCAACAGGATTTCAAGACAGTTCACAAATTTTTTATACAGTATTACCTTAGAAAATACCCTACATTTAAAGAATTAAGGTTACAAATTCCAGCACTTGGGAAATGCCTGAATGCAAGTGATCTGAACAAACTTAATTCAATCCCATTGTATGCATGATCATATAGTCTTTAATTACATGATAACACCCTAGTTTCTCTTTAGGATGCCTGCCTTCGTGCATAAGCTAGGTTAGTGATCCTCTCAGCACCTTGGAGTGCCTTTAAAAGGTACCAGGGGGCCCAAAGTCAAAAAAAAAAAGAAGTGAAAACTAAGAGCTAGCATTAAGGGAATATGGGTTGGATAAATGGACAATAAGGTGGATAGAGAACTGCCTGCATCATTGGGCTCAAAGGGTAGTAATCAGTGGCTCAATGTCTAGTTGGCAGCTGGTCACAAGTGGTCCTGGGTCTGGTTTTGGTCAATATCTTCATCAACGACATGGAAGATGGGATGGAATGCACCCTCAGCATCCCCTAATCATTTTCATTGCCCTCCACTGGACAAATTAGGTTCAATAAGGAGAAGTGCAAAGTCCTGCACTTAGGATGGATGCGCAATGGAGGGCAACAAAAATGGATTGGGGGCTAGAGTACATGACTTGTGAGGAGAAGCTGAGGGAACTGGGCTTATTTTGTCTGGTGAAGAGGACTGAGAGAAAAGATTTAATAGCAGCCCTCATCAACCTGGTTCCAAAGACGATGGAGCAACACTATTCTCAGTACAATATCAGCATACCACACAAATATTAATCAATTGATTTCCACCACACACTGATTTGTTGTATCATCTCTACTTTACCAGTGGTAAAGTGAAGCCCAGGAAAAAAAAAATTATTTCTGATCACCCAGGCAGAGATGACTAGGACCCAATTTTAAAAAAATATTTGGCATTTTTTCAGGGATATAGGTTGTACCCATGTTGGTCTAAAAAGCAGAAGCAGATAAAAACTCTTGGGGTAGAAGCAATATCTTTTATTAGACCAACTAAAAGGTAGCAAAAAATGTCTTTATTTGCAAGCTTTCAGACCCAAACACCCTTCATGAGGTAGAGGAGAATTCAAAAATTGTAAAAGTTCTCTATCAGGTTGTTTCTGAACTGCCTTGGTATCCTGTTGAATGAAATGTGTTATAAAAATGTAAGCTAAATTGAGATTCTCTTTTATGCAACTTGAAAATTTCCATTAAAATGACTTTTTAACTTGTCTACTCCTATTGATATGTCCAGTACTGGCATCAGAAAAAAGCAAAGCAACTCAAATGTCAGTCTCTACTAGGTAGAGAACTTTTACAATCTTTGAATTCTTCTCTGCCTGACAAAGGGTGTTTGGGCCAAAAAGCTTGTAAAGAAAGAATTATTTTTGCTACTGTGTAGTTGACCTAATAAAAAGTACCGCTTCTACCCCAAGAGTTTTGTCTGCCTTGGCATTTTTTCAGCATTTTCTGTGTTTAGTCTAAACTCCTCAATCTTCAACTGCATTTGTAAGCCTTCAGTCCTTCTCTTCTGGTTGAACACCCAGAATATGAGGGATGTGCAATTTTTATACAGCTATGAACATTTTTGCTTGAAATGACTTGTTCAGACTCACTGGCTGAGGTATCTCCAAAGAGCCAAAATACTTCAGTTTAGCACTGTATTCTTCTCTTTGTAGTAGGTTTTCATGACAAATACAGCATGCAAGAGGTTCAAAGCAATTTAAAACACCTTGTAAAAGTGACCTTTCAACTTTCTGCGTACAAGGAAGTGAAAGAATACATCTTTCCCCATGCATAGTCCTTCCTTGCCATTGTGCAAGAGACCCACATCCCTAGGACCTTCCTTGAGCACCAGACTTTTGTCTGATGCTTCTATGCAAGGGAAAGATCCAGAGGAGGTTTAGTGGTACAGATGCATGCCCCTTTCAGTTGATGATGCTGTGGGAGTTTTTTTAAGTCCCCCAAATCAGGTGAGAATCCCCACCTTCCCTCTCTGTGCTTAGTGGCACCTCCCCTCCTATTATTACTTTCCCCAACTCACCCCATCTCCAGTTGCCCTGGGGACAAGGGTAGGGGTGCAGGGAGGTCCCAGAGCCACTCCTGCTTGCCTCAGCCAGGTGCTGTAGGGATCCAGGCTCAACTAGAAACAGAAGCAGCAGTGGCAGGTCCCCAAGGTATTTCTTGCCAGCCTAAGAAAAGGTGCAGGGGAAGGGAATCTGCCTAAGGTCCCTTAGGAGCTACTCAGCCAGTCCTTAAAATACAAGACACAATCCTTGCACTAAACAAACTAGCAAACAAAAGCCTTTGACCCTTCTCTGGGCAGCAAGAGGGGGGCTTTGGCTCTGCCCCAGGACAGCAGCATTGCTCCTTCCTGGTTGCAAACTTATCTGGGTTCTAGTTCACCTCCTGCCTGCAAAGTCTGTTCACTCCCCTAGTTTGCTGCTCTGTGCTCTCTCCTTTTGGGTTTTAAGCTCCTAGAGGCTTATCCCATAGGGAATAAGGGGTACTCTTTTATTATCCTCTACACACTCACAGCTGGCCTTCTGCATTAGGGCTGCCTGCCCCTCTTAAAGTGCCAGGTCATCCTATACAATCTGCTATCATTGCCTTTTCAACTGGCCCCCTCTGCTTCCAACCCTGTCTGCAGATAACTTACGCTGTTTTCTTCTTTTCCTCCATGCTGTGTGGACACCTGAAAGGACAGTACTAGGACCATGGATGAGAGTGCTTCGCTTGGTTACTTCTGTTCCTCAGTGACACTGATGCCTCCTACAGCTGGTGGAGAGCAGTTTCAAGGAAAGACCATCTGTGGCCCTGCAGGCATGGCCTGGAGCATGCTCAGAGGAGACAATCTTTGGGCCATGTTGGTACCCAGGACTCCACTTCAGTGGATTTTCACAGACCCAAAAGCCACATTACTGACTCCAAAAAGGCACTGGAGCTTTTTGTTTACACTGTTAAGAGTTTAAGAATATCTTTTAAGAACATTTTTCCTATAATGTCCATCTCAGAGACCACTGAACTATTTTATTGACATGTTGACAAAAAAAATCAAAAACGAGTCTAACACAAAGCACAGAAAAGCTCAGCCTAAACTGCTAAAGGTCTGGCAAATTATAAGTAGCAGAAAACGGGGTCCTAAAACAGAAACTGTCAGGTGCCCTTAACTACAGGCATAACAATTCTGCCTGTAACATGGGAATCATTTCATCCTGTGATGTAGTTCTGCTACAACTGGAATGGAACACAGCAGCTGTTTGACAGCACACAGCAACAATACACAACTACTTAACATACAACATGACTTACAACAATTGTATCCAAAGGAAATTGGAGCAGGAAAAAAGAAGTTAGATAGCCAATATGTAGTTACGCACATTGAAGTTTGGCCAGACCCTAAAGACTAGTAAACGAGTGCTGTTGCTAGAGGGACATGCATTTTCTCAGGGCCATACAAGGCAGGCCCTCACCTGAGTTCAGCACCCCAGTCAATTTCCACAGTGCACACAGCACCCATTGGAGGGTCTTTGCCCACACTGCCCAACCCACAGGTATGCAGGCTGAAGCGAGATGCACCGAGTGAATGGAATAGAGTTGCTAAAATTCTTTTTGCTCTCTCCAAGCAGCTGCTACAAGAAGCAGAGAGGGAGGGAAGGTTCCTGCTCTGTCAAAGAGGACTGTGCCAAAAATAATCATGGCATTGCACTGCAGTGTATTTGTCATGATATTGCATCAGTGTGTGATACCACTGAGTGGTGCTGATATGCATGACTGTGATAGCGTCACATCACCTCAGGGCAACATCTTTGTAGCATACCACAATTGTGTGTCTCCTTGTGAATGCTTCATTTAATAAGAAATAGGATTTTTTTGGTCATATTTTTTATTGGACCAGTTATATAGTTGAGAGAAGTTTTAGACAAGTTTTTTGTATTACTTGAAAGCTTGTCTAACATCTCTTCCAACTGCATAGCTAATATAAGAAGCGATATTGCCAAAATAAATCCTGCCTCTTCCATATTCCCTGGATCATAACTACAGCAATAATACAACACTACTAAAATATCATTTGATAAATTAACTCTCCAGTTCATTAAGGATAAATAAAACTATGTATGCATGGGCATCTGCATGTGTGCTGGGAGAGAATTTATTTAACCTTAAGGAACTAGAGTCACTTTATCATTAAATGAAACAGTCACAAATAGAGAGCCATAATAGATCCTAGAGGGTCTCTTTATAGAGGATAGCAGGATTATCAGTGAAGAATAAATTATTCTATGGAATCTTTTGCTCTAACCCCCTAAAGGAAAAATATAATAAAGTTATAATATTCATATTTTTTCTTCTGCAGCAGAGTCCCTTTGCTAGCTAACCTTTTTCCTTAGATGTTAATCTCATTTGCAAATGCAACATTTTGTTTTTCTAGACAGTTTCACATATAGAACTTCAAAAAAAACTATTGAAACTTAAATGAAACATGGCAGAAAATATTCTGTAAAATCAACATGCAAATCAAGGACAAAAATCTGGACCAAGAGGCATAACGTCATGTATAATCTCTCTTTAAATAGATGTTAAATAGGACAGGCTTGATTTACAAAAGGACAGAGTGCCTTACAAAGGAATTCCTGGCAGATCACTTGCCACCTTCAGGCAAATATGGAATTGTTGCAAAGCTATCCTCTTGTTTGTTGCAGGAAAAAGGAATGACCCTTTCCCTGAATTTCTAACTCTACAAAAACTGTTATTGACAAACACATGACCAAAAAATACTGTACCCTTTTCATTAAACGGTGTGTGCCAAGCCAGGAGATAGTTATCCGGCTTTAACTGTGAGCAGCTTTCAATGGTGGCAGGGTCTGACCGTCTCCCTGGGAGTTTGTCAATAGAATCAACATAGCGTTTTACCAGTTCCCGATATAGGTCTTCTAAACACCAGTAATCTGTTCAGAACAAAGCATTAAGAGACTATTAAAGTAAGCAAAATAAAAGACAAAATGGCATGGGGGGGTGGGGATGGGAAGGATGACAGGTCACCAGACATTTTAAAATTCTCATTCAGGTAAATGTACAAAGACTTTTACAGAAGCCCTGAAAACAACTGCAGAGCAGGCATACTGAGTCTATCTCTGGACTAAAATACAAAACAAAGCAGCAGAAGCAGGGTACATACACTATAGGGCTGGATGGCTGAATTTCCTAATCCTAGCCAACAAACTAAAACCTTGACATGCAGTGGGACAAAATTTTGGAGCTGTGCTCCCTCCATTGTCAATGGTTAAACTACCCAGGAGTCACCTGAGGCTCATGAGCTGTGGTATGGCTACCTTGGCTATAGATGGGGACAATTGCTTCCCCCCCCCCCCCCCTTTTCCCTTCTTTTTAAA